ATTAATGAAGAGGTTGCATGAACAAAAAATAAATGAATTCTCTGAAAAGCACAATTAAGCTCATTTGTTTTAGAGTTAAAATACGACAAATGAAACATATTTGATGCTTTAGAATTGTGAGGCGCCTAATAACAAATTGTTGAAAGCAAGCGAGGAATGATAGGAATCTAAACATAAAACAAGGATTAAATAGTTCAATAATCTGTGATTAGACAAACTGAGACTCTAAAAGTTCTAAAGGCTTAGAAGAAACATGTTAATTCTATCTACATTAGAGTACGGACCAATATTGCCAAAAATTGTTTCTAACCAATAATTGACTGGAAAAATTACAGAGAAACAGAGTCTGATAACAATTGCTGATTTGCCGATCTTGACTGGAGAGACTACTTTCCAGCACTGAAAGATGAGATAATGATGAGAGATCAACAGTAAGTACAATATATCCCTTGATGTTTTGTCACAGAAAATTTTCTTCTTTCCGTAATACCACCTCCCCCATCCTTCAGTTCTCTGCCCACCCTAAAAATGAAGTAAGAGAACAATCAAAGGAGTGCTGGATAGTTTGAAGAGCCAGTATTGTAGCCATTTGGAGAACATCCAGGAAGCTTAAGGGTTTAATCAAATAAAAATTGCTACTGATCGAATATTCAGATAAACACACTCTTCATAGGTCATATTTTCGTGATTTTAGTTTTGCGACTACGGGAGTTGCAAGCAGACATTCGTCCCAGATTCAAAACCAAAATGACCCCCAAATTAAAATTCTCGGTTATACACATTACAATTTAATATAAGTCCCCAAAATAAATGGGAAAAAAAATTAGAGGGGGTGGGGTGGGGGGGGGTGTTCAAACTTCTTGAATTAAAAAATAAAATTTCAATTTATTATATTAATAATATTAATCGCTCCGAAGAGAGTCTTTGGCCCGGCACTGCACAAATACGATCCAAGTATATATTATCATATATGTGTGGATATTTTGTGTAAAAGCTCAGTAATTTAGTAAAGAGTTGACAAGGATTGGACTTGAGCCATTAGAACTTTGTTAATAGGGTTCCCATGCATAGCTACAATTAAACAAGGGAGGTACGTAATAAGTTGTCAATGACAATGGATATTATATTCTTCGGAAATAAATCACTTTTTCCTCAAAATTCTCTTCATGGAAGCGTTTCATACACTCAGACCTATTTAGGAAAAAAAAAACCCCTTTGCCCACTCTATCTTTTTTCTCCAGAATGGCTCACCAGAACCATATTAATTCCTTTTCTTTCAAAGTGCTCTTGCTCGTGTTATAAATGATATTGTTATTGATACTTCAAAATCCCCCAGGACACCATCGACTATGCTTATAAAGCAACTGACAGAACAAGATCAAACACGAAATCCTGAGCTCCATGTCTAAAACCATCATGTTAGGAACTCATTGGTAATTACTTTTATAATCCCAAGTCAATTCCAACGCCAGGTGTAGAGCATAAAAATGGTCTAGGCCTTCCAATTCCCCTTAGAAAAGGGATTGGATTGTGAACAAAATACATATTTCTTAATATATCGCCTATTGTCACCCTCTTTTAAAACTTTTTCATCTAACCTATCGAGTGTAAATATTCTTTAACATAAGCAGATGCTCTTTTAAGTTCCAAAACGAAAAAATGCAGCTCGTGAGGAGATGAAAGGTTTAGAGAACAATGGAACATACAAACTTTTGAGTTTAACAAGAGGAAGAATCCAGTTGGTTATAAATGGTTGTTCACTATAAACTACAAGGTTGATGGAACAATTGAAAAATGTGGCTAGAATTTGAAATAGAGATCTAGGTCCATGAGTTATCTCTGGATATTGATGTTGTTATGTCTAATAGATATTGTTTCTCAAAGAAAATAAGTCAAAAGACTTGTTACAGGAGATGGGATGTTAGGCTGCAAGCATTGGAAGACTCTTATTGATCATAAGTTCATAATTATAAGTAAGGATTAGCTAAACAAGGATTAAAAAAAATCACCTTGAATATACCCAAAAGCACTATGCTCCAGATTTGCACGAAAAAACAAAAAGATTTTAACATAACTCAAAACCTATCCATTGTCCATTTTGACTCTATTGAAGACACAAAATGCCGTTCTAAAATCTCCCAGATACTTGACACTTAAAGCAGGTTTGGCTAAGCTCTTTCTTTTTTGCCAAACATAATTTTAAAAATTATTAATTTACTAATAAAACTTACTTTCTAAGTAGTTTTAAGCTTAGCCAAATAGCAAAGGAGAAACGGTGAATACTTACCATTGTACATGCACTTGCGGAGCATTCGGTCGAGAATACGCAAGCATGTGACGTCATCGTCCACCACCAGCACACTCAGCCCTGCCGGGAACTGCTCCGGCACCACCACCTTCTCAAGTTGATCTCCGCTCGTGCAAGCCATTAAAGACAAATTATAAAATCACTGGCACAAGAAACCTACAATAGCATACATACATAAATTTCCCGGTAATTTTTTAAGAAAATCAAACTTTAGTTATGCAGAAACACAAATAAAAGCTTAAAATGAAAATCCCAAAATGATTTCAAGTAAAATTAACTATTCACCGTCATAAGTAGTGTAAGCTGCCACGAGGGTTTGGAATGTTGAAGTGAAAATGACAAGGCAAAGGAGTGAGATCTAAGAGGAAATTGAGAGATAAAATAGGGAATTTAAGGCAGGGAAGTAAGGTTTGTTCAATGATTGAGAAATGGGGAGCAAGGATAGAGATACAGAGAGAATTAAAAGTGGGAAGGATAACGCCAGCTTTACTCTTGAAAATATTTGATTTTGTTAAAAAATTAGATTTTAATAAAAATGGATGATATGTCAAATTTGGATTTAGCTCTGCGCTACATATTCATTTGCATATTCATAACAATTTACGATAATCTTTAAATTTTTTACATAAAGAAATGAAATTGATTAAAGTGTAAAAATTTAGAATAACAATTCTATCGATTTAAAAATCATACCGTACTTATTTAAATCTAGTATCGTTATAATATACGTCAAATTCGCATACCTCACTAATCAATTGTGCCGTATTTTGTTAGGAAATAATGCCCTCGAGACTCGATTTGTGACAGCTTTTTTTATGCATTCGGAATACATTCGAAAAATAAATAAATAAATAAATAAAATCGCATCAAGATCTATTTGTTAACGTGGATGTAGATTAAACTTGGTCTTATTCAGAGAATTTTCTACATATTCGCGTCTACCATGGAATTTTCCGCATATTTGAGTCTACTATCATATATCCAAACACAATTTCATAAAAAGATTAATTTACATAGAATGAGACTCCCCCTTTCTATGAAAATGGGGTCGTTTTAATCTTCACACAAATTTTAAAAAAATGTAATTAATATAAGGGTGGTTATTGTAAGTGTTATGCCCTAGATCCAATCAATTTTGGACATAAATACTTTAAATATATATAATTGATGCATGTATGGTAATATCTATTATTTAATTGAATTAATATTTTTATAAATTAAATAATAGAATCCGTACTGTGAGAATATTTCCCTACAGAGCCAGAGATGGAAACTGTGATTCTGCAAAGGTAGAAGAATATTGTATTGTTAAATTTATAGATAAAACAGATGCCTAATTCACCACTTCATCCACCCCTCATGCTCCTTGGGACACAAATTGAAGTATATCTGATTGAATTAATAACTTGGAACTAGTAATTGGTTCCTTCGTTAGTTAATAGTTCTTGTGATACGGTTTACGTGGTTTCTGATATTAAGGTGGATTATTGTTGCAGACCACGAGGTGT